AGTTTCTCAGTGCCTTGGAATGTAGCCCTGGTGTTCTGCATAAGAGGATTTTCAGAGGGTGGGATAAATGCTGGTTGTTAATGAGCCTGAGTTTGTATTTCTTTGCCTCACCTGGGAAAGGCTGAATCTCCGAGTGTGGGCTGCTGCTTTTTCCCACAGCTCTGGGATGGAGCACACTGGCCACCGTTCTTTGTGGCTGCAACTCAGCAAAAACTCTGAGTGCTCTTCAAATCCTGGTTGTCCGCACAGAGTTACAGCCCAGTCTGCCCTACCTCTGCTGTAGCCCCCAGATGAGTGGCTGTGGCTATTTTAGGGCTCTGTTTAGGTTCTCTGCACTATGGAGTGGGTCTTTATTCCCCAAGGGCGATGCTTATAACTAAGACTGCTGCTGTTCCTGGGCTCCCAGCCTGCCACCCTCTCGTGCCTCCGCAGATCCTACCCGTGTCCCTGGTTATATGGTCCTGCTGCTTTTCTGTTGCTTTTCCCCCGAGGGTTTGTCTTTATTTTAGTTGTAATTCCCGTTTGGTCCTGGGAGATCTTCTGTGTAGCTTCCATTCATACCACCTCCGTTTTCACATCCTGTACACCTATCTTGTGCGCAGCTGGATCGCACAGGCCTCTCTGGTGCCCCCGCACCCTGCAGGTCCCATGGGTAACTGGATCACACAGACCCATTGGGGACCAGGCTCTATGCCTATATTATGGGCTGCTGGGTCACACAAGCCTCTCTGGTTCTTCAGCACCCCGCAGGTTCTGCAGGTGACTGGATGGCACAGTCCCTGCTGGGTCGCATATGCCTCCCTGGTGCCCCCGCATACTGCAGGTCCCATGGGAGAATAGCTGGATTGCACCGTTCTGTCTTGGTCTCCTGCTTCCCACAGCTTTTGTGGGCTGCTAGGTTGCACAGACTTCTCTGGTGTCCCAGAGCCCCGCAGGACCCATGGACAGCTGGATCTCATCAGTCCCTTTTGGGACTCTGGCTTCCCAGTGCTCTTGTGTGCTGATGGACAGCACAGGCCTCTGTGGAGCCCCAGGTTCTGCCACTGGGGGCTGGCGAGTGCTGCTGCCCCATGGGGCTCAACTACTGCTCAGCTTTTTCTGTAGTTTTTTTGGGGTGGGTCTCAGCTGCTGGTCTGTGCTTTTTTGCTTGGGGATGTATGTCTGCTCCCAAGCCTCTGTTGCTGGGGTTATATCTCAAGTCTGATTGGGGTGCTACTATGGGATATGGTGCTGGTCTCTGGGCTCTTTGTGGCTTCTGTGACGGGCACCTTGGGAGCTCCACTACTGTGCACTGGTGTGTGTTGATACAGATTGTCCACTGGTCGAATGATGCCAGGTATGCTGGTGGGCTCAGGTTGCTGTGCCTTAGCTGCTCCCACTTCCTCCTCCCAGGGAAGACCCATGGTCTTCCAAAATGGTGGGACATCCCTGTGGCACAGGGCGAAGCATCCTGAAGAGCCGCTTACCGTGTTAGCCGGCTGCTCCTGTCCACAGCACACGAACCTTCTGTTTCGCGTCTCTGCACTGCACGAGTTTTGTTGTCCATCTTCACGTCCACTCACATTCTCACATACTAGCTCACTCTCTCACACACTCACCCTTCCTCTGGTCCTGCCCACCGCCAGCCCAAATTTAGTATTTTCACCATTCAGTGATTTCTTCTCATCTAAAATACATTGCTATTTGTCACCTTTCTTAGATATATATAATTATACATTTTTATTTTTACTGTTGCTGTACTTGAATTTGTGTCAGTACAAAAAATCAAAAGTTATCTTGTGAGAGGATGTATTCCTTAGAGGATTTGTTGATTTTGAAAATTTGTAGATTTTCTCTTTCACATTGTGTTGTGTTTTAGATTCCAACTGTATTAATAAAGAATCTGACTTGCTATTTAACATTGTAGCCAGCTGTAGTAACATTTATTTTTAGGTTTTCACATAGTCCTTGAAATATTTTTGTTTGTTTGCTGTTGGTCTTGATTTAAAGGAATTTGTCTAGAGTAAGATTATATCCTTGCATATCACAAGGTACCATCTAGGATTCATACTTTGTATACTAATTTACTGTTATTTAGCTATTTACTAGTGAAAGGTAAATGCAGTGTTAACTCTCAGCTAAAAGAAGCCATGCATGTCCTCCAACTTAGAGGCAAGTAAAAAACTGCATATGTTAGTTCAGTGATTATTTTCTTAAAGCAGCTTTGCCACTTGTTTAGTTTATACTATTTTTATGAATATATTTGAATCTTTCAGAAAGTTTATACTAGTACTTGAGTGAAACTATTCTAGGTAAATAGCAAAAGGATATTGCACTAAATTAATAATCAAAAAGGTTAGGAAAAGAGATCAGCAAATAAACTATCAAGTGGATAACTCACAAATGTTTAAAATCTGATGCCTAGTTATTTAGAAGACATCTCCTCTTTGTCTAACTGAAAAGCATAGATTAAGCTACTTTGTATTGACAGTTTATTGTTGAATTTTTAAAAGCTAATCTTTATCCTTCTTGTCAAAATATTGGAGTATTTCTACTTGTATTTGAGTGTATTGAAGTTTGTTCCCCTGAATCAGTGATGTTGTCTATATTAAAATAGCTATTCTACAAATCATAATTTTACCTTTACTATAATTTGGGAAATAAAAAAAAATATTATCTTAAAAAATTATCTTAATGTTGTTCTGTAAATTATTTAGCCAATTCTTCACATATTCACCAACCATACTTTGCATGTTAGTATTAGAGATGTGGCTATTGCTCTTTTTCTTACACTGATTTTCTTATTATCTGGATTTATAAGTGGATGTTTAGCTGGCTTCTTAAAATTTGATTATCATCCTAAGGAAAGGATTACAATATATATGGACTTTTGCAATGAATGTCTTGAGTTGCCAGGTTCCCATTGCTTTTTCATTCCTGCTAACTTAATCTATTCTGTAGTAATTTCTATTATGTCTTTTTAATAATTATTTATATGTTTTTAGGTGGAAAGATGTGCTTCGGAGTACTATGTAATATGAATAAATAAAAAGTAATTACGAAAAGTTATATTGAGATATATTTAACAATCATGGAAAGCAAAATTAGATTTTGTGACATTTATTATATTGATTTAGAATTATAGAAATCATGTACATTACCTGTTTCATGTGATTTTTTTTTTCTGATCATATGAGCATTTCAGTTTGAGGCACATCATATTAACCTCTAGTTCATTATAACTAATTAAGTAGTTCTCTCAATCCTTGAAATCTATCTATTCTTTCTTTTCTGTTTGCTTTATTAATGACTTCCTTGTCCTCTCCCAAAACATCTTTCTTCTTCCATCTTTTGGTTTGGTTGATGTATGTGAAATGTGAATGAAGATGGAGGCCTTTATGTTATAGAGCATCATTCAGTGAAAAACTCTTCCAGAGAACCAGAGGATGTGCCTCAAGGTATCAAAGTTTGTGGAAGCCTATTAAAGGGACAGGTTAATGCAACTGAATTGTATAGTCTTTTATTTAAAATACAGTATCAGTAACTGGATTAGGGAATTGCATTAATCTGGAATAGATAAAACAAATGTTTATTTTTACTTAGAGTATCACAGAGGAAAATATTAAATATCATTATACACAGCAACATTTTACACAGGAGAATTCTCAAGTACATAAAATATGTTTTGTAGGTAAATGGATTTCAACTTTTTTCTCCTTTCTGCTCCAATATGACTCATACACATCAATAATCACAATGCTAGTGAGTGTGGTGTGGGAGAGAATTCAGAATTTACTGTTGTGATGGGCATTGTAGTTTGACCCACCCTCTGGAATAATTTCCATCCCACATAGAACATGCATACTTCTACATATCCATTTTAAAGTCACTCTTTAAAGATATTTTTTTCCTAATAGTCTTAGGTATTACATTACCTCCATTCTTCTACATTTGGGAATTAAGCAGTTTTAGTGTATACTCATACAAAGAAGAATAAAGGTGTAATTTTATCTCTAAATTGTTTGGTGCAAAGCTACACTCTTTACTTATGATGCATGTCCTTTGTACCTCACTGTGACTCTTCCTAGTGAAGCTCCAATAGATCCAAGCCAGTAAGGAAACTGGGGTGATGGAAATTGGTGTCTTTATGTTAACCATCTTTCTGTAATTACAATTTATATTTATTTCATTATATATTTTAGTAGTCAATATGTAGCTTTAATTTGAAGTTCTTTTATCATCTATAGTGTTTTTATAGTTGACATCTGAAGATTATATTTTGAATGAAATGTAGATTTTACTCCTTATAAAACTAAACTTTGAAATAGAAAATTAAGTTACATTTATATCTATAGTAAATAAAATTTTCAAACTCTTAAATATGTTATTTATGTTAAAGAAAGATAATCATTACTTTTGACTTTGAAATTACTTAGAATTATATAAAATTGTGGACAAATAGTTCTCTCTTACAATGGTTTATCATTTTTTCTGTTTTGATTTTCTTTGAATACTGTTATATTTGGTTATCAAAATTTGATAAACTTGTGTTTTTTTTTTCTCAAACAACTGAACTTTAGTATTAGTTTTGTGTTTAGAATTATTATTATTATTATTATTTTTTTTACTTTTGGCAAAGTGATTATATTACATCAACATAACCCTATCTTTTGCTGTGCTGGGAAAATGAAATCGGTCATATTGGTACCTAAACAATCTACATCTCTTCATTGTCTGTTTTAGCCAAAGGTGCACAGGCACTAGTAGCATAGCTAGAAGATATGCAAGCCTTGAAAATGGGTTTATAAAAAAAGATACATGGAAGAGTTGGTGAGCTTCATTCCTTCATAATAACAGCCAAGTGTGCTTATGAGCATCTCATATAAATTATATTTAATTATTGTTTTCTAGAAAACATTTTCATGAACCAGATGCTGTTTATTATGGAGAACTTTTATATCATGCGTATACACTATTCTCTTTAATATGTTTTGGAATTAATGTGTTCATTTTACTTTTAGGATTCATTCAATATCTGTTACAAGAAACAAGCCAAAAGAAAATGTGGATTGTAAAAAGAGGTATAAAATTATTTTAGTCCTTCTATTTAATATTTTATATTGAGACTTGATCCTCTGACAGTGATGTTCCTATATGTGGGTTTTAATTGAATAAATGATATTGATTTAATATAACTAGATAATTTTTAAAAATCACTAGTCATCAGAGAGATGCAAATTAAAACAACTATGAGGTATCACCTCACACCTGTCATAATGGCCGCCATCAACAAATCAGCAAACAACAAGTGTTGGCGAAGGTGTGGAGAAAAGGGGACTCTGGTACATTGCTGGAGGGAACGCAGACTGGTGCAGCCACTATGGGAAACACTATGGTGTTACCTCAAAAAGTTAAAAATTGAACTGCCATTTGACCCAGTGATAACACTTCTAGAAATATACCCTAAGAAGCCTGAAATCAGAAAGAATATATGTACCCCAATGTTTGTAACAGCACTATTTACAATAGCTAAGATCTGGAAACAGCCCAAATGTCCATCAGTAGACGAATGGATAAGAAAGCTGTGGTACATATACACAATGGAGTACTGTGCAGCTGTAAGAAAGATCTCTTATCCATTGAGACGACATGGAGGGACCTGGAAAGTATTATCCTAAGTGAAACAAGCCAAGCAGAGAAGGACAAATATCACATGATCTCACTTATTTGTGGAATATAATGAACTAAACAAACTGCTGAACAAAATTAACCCAGAGACATAGAGGTGAGGTACAGAGTGACAAGCCTCAGAGGAGGGGGTGTTTATGGGGGAAGAGATAAACCACAGAACTTACATGCATGTATGCATGACCAATGAACATAGACAACAAAGCTGGGGATGGGGCGGGTGGAAGGGGAAGAGGGTGTCAATGGGGGAAAAATGAGAAACATCTGTAACAAAAACAAATTAATAAAAAGAAATTAAGTGTGTTACAGCATGAGTTAAATTTACTTTTGATACAAACAACTAGAAAAATGCTGATTTGATCTCTTTTTGCACTCATACAAGCATTTTGTCTTGATGATAGAATCATTTATTCATTTATTAATTCAGCAAACATTTATTGTATTACCCTTACTGCTAGGAATGCTGTCTTTCTTCATCATTGATTTCGTTTATTGTCTATGTTATTGCTTATTGTTTTTATTTGTTTTCAGTTGTGTTTGACTAAGTTCTTCTATATGAATACATGTTCTAAGTCCACGTATATTAATTTCAGAGAACTAAAACACCTTCAAAGTTTCTGTTTATTCTTTTTGGTGGTTTAAAAATTTGCATTAGACTCAATTCCTGAGTCATTACTATGGGGTGTAAAGGTTCTAGGCTGGGGGTGAGTATAGATGTATACACAGAGAGAATTAACATTTGTTGAATGCTTGTTATTTACATAAAACTCTTCTGAGTGCTTTAAAAGTATTATCTGATTTAACCTTCATAATAACTCTATGACATTGTTACTATTGTCCTCCCCATTTTATAAGAAGATTAACTCTTTAAAAAAGGAAGATGTTGCCATATACTAACTGAAAGAAACCCACTTTCTCCTAGAAGACACAAATACGTTAAAAATAAAAGGATGGAGCCCTGGCCAATTTGGCTCAGTGGTTGGAGCGTCGGCCTGCGGTCCAGAGAGACCCGGGTTCGTTTCCCGCTAAGGGCATGTACCTCGGTTGCAGTTTGTCCCCGGCCCTGGTTGGTCGTGCGGGTGGCAGCACACTCGATGTGCCTCTTTCACGTCGATGTTTCTCTCTCTTTCTCTCTCTCCCTCCCACTCTATCTGTGCAAAAAATGGAAAAATGTCCTCGGGTGAGGATAAAAAAATAAATAAATAAATAAAAAATAAAAGGATGGAGAAAGAATTAACATATTAACACTAATCAAAAGAAATCTAGAGTGCCTGTATTAATAACAGAAAAGTAGGCTTCTTCCTTTTTTATAGAATCTGACAATCTGACTTCTAATTGCAGTGTTAGGATTATTTATGTTTAATTATTGATATTAATGAGTTTAAATTTACTGTCTTATGTGTTTCTTTTTAGTTTTATCCTTTGTAGCTATCTCCCTCCTCCCCTTTTTTACCAACCTTTGAATTACATTTTAAAATTCCTATATATCTCCTTTCTGGACTTATTAGCTATAGCTTTGTTATGTTATGCTAGTAGTTGTTTTAGGTTTTAAAGTATAATATTTAAGTTAGTGCAATCTATTTTCAAGTATCATTATGCCATTTTGTATACAGTATAAGAACCTTAAGTATATTTCTATTTCTTCCCTCTTGGCCTTTGTGATATTGTTGCCATACAGTTTACTTCTTTATATTTTATAAATGCTGTGGTACACTGTTATTATTTTTGTTTTAAATAGTCCATTGTTTTTCTTTAATTTTTAAAATTAATTTATATATTCATTTTTGTTACAGATGTTTATCCTTTTTCCTCCACTGATCCCCCTCCCCCTCCCTCCCTGCCCTGTCCCCAGCTTTGTTGTCCATGTCCATTGTTCATGCATACGTGCATATAAGTTCTGTTGTTTATCTCTCCTTTCAACCCCGTCTTCTGGGGATTATCAGTCTGTACCCTTCTTCCACGTGTCTGGAACCACCCTGTTCCTCAGACTGTAATGTTCATTATATTCCACAAATACATGAGCTCATGTGACATTTGTCTTTCTCTTCTTGGCTCTTTTTGCTTAGGATAATACTTTCCAGGTCCCTCCATGCCATCTCAAAGGATAATAAGATCATTCTTTCTTATAACTGCATAGTACTCCATTGTGTATATGTACCATGGCTTTTATATCCATTTGTCTACTGATGGACATTTGGGCTATTTCCAGATCTTAGCTATTGTGAATAGTGCTGCTACAAACATGGGGGTACATATATTCTTTCTGATTGGTATTTCAGGCTTCTTAGGGTATAGTTCTAGAAGTGGTATCACTGGGTCAAATGGCAGCTCAATTTTTAATTTTTTGAGGTAACACCATATTGTTTTCCATAATGGCAGCACCAGTCTGTAGTCCCACCAGCAGTGTACTAGAGTTCTCTCACCAACACTTGTTGTTTGATGAATTGCTGATGGCGACCATTCTGACAGGTGTGAGGTGATACCTCATTGTTGTTTTAATTTGCATCTCTCTGATGATTAGTGATGTTGAGCATTTTTTTATATGTCTCTTAGCCATTTGTATGTCCTGTTTAGACAGGTGTCTATTCAGTTCCTCTGCCCATTTTTTAATTGGGTTTTTTGTCTCCCTTTTGTTGAGCTGTATGAGCACTCCATATATATTGGAAATTAACCCCTTATCTGATGTATCATTGGCAATTTTGCTCTCCCATACAGTGGGTTGCCTTTCCATTTTGGTGGTTGTTTCTTTTGCTGTGCAGAAGCTTTTGAGTTGGATGTAGTCCCATGTGTTCATTTTCTCCTTGGTTTCTGTTGCCTTAGGTGATGTATCTGAAAATTCTGCTGCTTATGATATTTGAAATTTTGTTGCTTACATTTTCTTCTCAGATTTTTATGGGTTCATGAGTCACATTTAAGTCTTTTTTCCAGTTTGAGTTTATTCTTGTGTATGGTGTAGGTTGATGGTCTAGTTTCATTTTTTTGCATGTAGCTGTCCAATTTTCTCAGCACCATTTATTAAAGAGGCTGGTTTTACTCCACTGTATGCTCTTGCCACCTTTGTCAAATATTAATTGAGCGTATTGCCTTGGGTCCATTTCTGGGTTCTCTATTCTGTTCCATTGATCTATCTGCCTGTTCTTGTGCCAGTATCAGCTGTTTTGATTATAGTGGCTTTGTGGTATAACCTGAAATCTGGTAATGTGACTCCTCCAACTTTGTTCTTCTTTTTCAAGATTGGTGTGGCTATTCAGGTTCTTTTTTGGTTCCATATGAACTTTTGAAGTATTTGTTCTAGTTCTGTGAAGTATGTCGTTGGTATTTTGATAGGGATTGCATTGAATCTATAGATTGCTTTGGGTAGTATGGACATTTTAATGATGTTAATTCTTCCAATACATGAAGAAGGTATGTGCTTCCACTTTTATTTTATCCTCACCCAAGAACTTTTTTTCTTTTTTTGTTCAGATAGAGTGGGAAGGAGAGAGAGAGAGAGAGAGAGAGAGAGAGAGAGAGAGAGAGAGAGAGAGAGAGAGAGAAACATGGACATGAAAGGGACACATCGAGTGGTTGCCAACCGCACAACCCAACCAGGGCTGGGACAATGTGCAACCGAGGTATGTGCCCTTACCAGGAACCGAACTCAGGTCTCTCTGGACCGCAGGCCCTCACTCTAACTGCTGGGCCAAACCAGCTAGGGCTGCTTCCACTTTTTTGTATCTTCCTCTTTAAATAGTCCATTGTTTTTAAAGACATTTAAGTAATCAGAATGATTTTTTTAATATTTACCGTCTTAGTTACTGTCTCCAGTGCCTTTTATTTTATTGTGTAGGTCCACATTTCATATTTCCCTTCTACTTGAAAGACTTAACTTTACTTTTAATCTTGGCCTACTCATGTTGAATCCTGTCAGCTTCTGTATGTCATTTTTAATGTTTTTATTGATTTATTTATTTTTTTTAGAGAGAGAGAGATAGAGACATTGATGTGAGAGAGAAACATCCATAGGCTGTCTCCTGCATGCCCTCTACTGGGGGTTGAGCCCGAAACCCTGGCATGTGCCCTGAGGGGGAATCAAACTAGGACCTCTTAATCCATGGGATGATGCTCAATCCACTGAGCCACACTGGCAGGGCTTGCCTTCATTTATGAAAGATATCTTTGCTAGTACAAAATTTAGGTTGACATTTTTGTTTTCATTTCAGTACCTTAACGAGGTTTCCCTGTTGTCCTCTTGATAGGGTTTGGCATGAGAACTCTGTTGTCAATATTTGTTTCATTGAACAAAATCTAAAATCTCTTGTCCTTTAGCTTCTTTTTACATTTTCTCTATCATTTGTTTATAAGTAATTCGATTATTATGTATCTTGCTGTAGTTCTCTTTATGTTTCTTTTGCTTGGAGTTTATTGAACTTCTCGAATTTGTAGGTTTATTGTTTTCATGAAATTTGAAAATTTAGGACCCTTATTTCTTCAAATATCTTTTCTGTCACCTGACCTATTCTTCTGGAACCCTAACTATATGTACCACTTGAAAGTTTCTCCCAGATCAGTGATATTCTATTCATTCTTTTTCAGTATTTTTCTTTCTGTGTGTGATTTTTTGCTGGTTCTTTTGTAATGTCTGTATATTCACTAATCATTTCTTATGAAATGTCTAATGCATTATTTTAATCCCATCCAAGTTATATTAAATTTCAGATGTAGTTTTTAATCTCTTAATGTTTGATTTGTATCTGGTTTATATCTATTATGCCTATATTAACGTGTTCAGTCTTTCCCTCTAGCTTCTTGAACACTGTCTGGTTGAATTTTTGATTGAATACCAGACATTATGATCTTGAATTACTTGGGTGCTGGGTATTATAGTATTGCTATAAATACTCTTTCACTTTGTTCTGGAATGTTGTTAAATTATTGGACAACAATTTGATATTTTTGGGACTTGATTTTGTGCCTTATGTGTAATCACATAACAATTGATTACAGTAAGGCATTTTGTCTAGGACCAAATTTGCCCCACTAATAAAGAAGACCTTGCATTGTACTCTACCTGATATCCCATGAACTATAAGGTTTTCCATTCTGGCTGGTGGAAACTGATACTACTTCTAGTTCACTGTGAGTCTGAAAATTACTCTTTCTAATCTTTCTGGTGATTCTTTTGCCTAGGGTAGTTTCCTTACATGTATGATCAGTGATTAGTCAGAACTCAGTTGAAAATTTGAAGGATGCCTCTGTAGAGTTCCTAAGTTCTTTCTTTGTGCATTGTTCCTTTCTTTGTTACTTTGTCCTGTTAACTCCATATACCTTTTTCTCCTTGGCACCCAGCTTTGTTTCCTCATTTCGGAGAGCTACATGAGCCCCACCTTGGTCCCCCTTCTGTGGCCTTGGAATTCTCTTCCTGCAACAATGTGACTCAGTTTTGAGGCTTGCCTTGTTTACCAATGTCTAAGGGATAGATGTCTCTCTCTCTTTTTTTTTCCCTAATATTTAATGTCTTGGAAAGTATAATTTTGTCAATTCTTTTCTTGTTTTCAATCAGGACATAAATTTGGTCACTGTTAATTTTATCTTGGCCAGATGCAAAATCTAGTTTTTACATTTTATGTAACTTGTCTATATTTTCCCATACACCTGCTTCACCCCAACATTTAAACAATTGCTGCTCATATTTTTCAGATATTTTTGTGATTTTATTTTTATTTATATTTAAATCTTTCAGTCCATTAATTTTGGTATTTGATATGATATAAGAAATCTAGTATTTTCCTTTCTCCCTCTCTTCCTCTCTCCTTTTTCTCACTCCTTCTCCTTTCTATGTTTTTTTTTCCTTTCTGTATTTTACAATTGGTTAATCAGTTGTCTCAACACCATCTGTTACATAACCCATCATTTCAACAATGCTTTTAAATTTCATTTTTATTGTAAGTTGTTTTAGTTGTTGTCCTGTATGCCTTTTCTACTGAAAAAAAATTATAGATTTTGGAGCTGGTACTAATTTATTTCTGTAATTTAATAAAATACATGTAATTTCCTAGTAGGTAAGTCCCCTTTATTGTATAACTTTTCTCTTCTTGGTCATGCATTCTTTAAATTAACTTTGTAACTCTTTTATCAAATTTTCTAAACAAGTCCCAAAATACTTCTTTTAAAAAATTACTATTGTATTAATTTCAGCTGTCATTTTGAAGGAGAAGTTATGTCTATAATATTTAATCTTTCTGTCCAAAAAGTTTTCAGTCATTCAAGTTCCCAATTAGGTGATTATGGTTTTGTCATGTGGGTCTTGTGCATGTCTAGTTAAGTTTTTTTCCTAGCTATTTTTTACTTTTATAAATGAGATTTTTTCCCAATGTATTTTATAACTTGTTAAAATTGATAATTAAGAAAGCAATTAAGTTTTATGTTTTTTTTTCTGTAACTGCTAACCATACTTCTTAGTAATAGACTTTTTGTAATTTTTTTTTCCCTTGGGCAATTCTGTTTTCTATACATTTTGGAAGTGTGTTTCTTTCTAATTATTAAAAATGTTCTTTTCTTACTGTACTGTACAGAAGTTTCATAACAGTGTTGAATAATACATCTCTAGTGGGCATTTTGTTAGTGTATTTTTTCTAAAGGAACTTCTTGTTCATATCTGCAATCTAACAATTATATTCAGTTTACCTTACTCTATGCGCACACACACACACACACACACACACACAAAATAGATAAAAAAAATTTCTACATAGCCCCTATGTGTCAGAATGAAATGTTCCAGGGTCATAATCAGTAATTCAATAGGCAAAAAAAGAATTACTAGGGTTTTTGTTTTTGTTTAGCTTAGGATAATGATTTTAATATAATAAATATAATCTGCTCTTTTTATGTCTCTAGATATTATATTTCTTTTCACCTCTGAAAAGTTCTTAGAGTACTCTTATGCATAGGGTGATATTAAATAGGTCTGTTTTGATTTTTTTTAGCAGATTATAATTGATTGGGGAAGACTTAAGTATGTTTTTGTCAACTTTAAGTTTTCTTATTAGTTCAAAGCATAGGCATGAATAAATTCTTTAGATTTCTGGTTAAAGAAATACAATTTGATACTATCATGTTCCTTGCTTCTCAGCCTTTTGGCTAAGATCATGTGTATAATATTATGTTCATAATGTATACCTAACGGCAATTCTAAATATTTTAACATATTAAGGCATCTTTAATTTTTTAGTGTCTCAACAGATGACGTTAACTCACCATTATCACCACTCACATGGAAGGTAAGAAGAAATTAAATTATATTATATCTAATATTTTGTTCTCATTTACTTAATTAAAAGAAATTGTCTCATTACAGCCCTTAGAAAATCAGAAAGATCAAACAGATGAACAACAGTGGCCAGAATCTCAACCTATAATCTGGCAGAGTGAAGAAAGAAGGCGGAGCAAACAGATTAGAAAAGAATATTTCAAGGTACTTAATTAAAATTGTAAAATTTACTTTGTAATTAATTTTGATTTTATCAGTTTTGTTTTATGTTAATAAGGTAGAATAACTCTAGTTACATATAGAAAATGTGTTATTTTACCTACATGTATCTAGGAAATATTCAGTATATAATATGATCCAGTTACATCTATAATATTTCAGTAATTCATAATAATTAAAAATGATTAAATCAGTCTGAATTGTGGTTTACCAAATTATTTACAACAAAGATGTAATGTTTGCTACAGTACTAATTGTAGTAATATGTAGTAATATTTTAAAAGAATTGCTCCAAGAAGGTCTTCACTGGATTTGTTTCAACAGTTGATATGTAATTGCAATGAGCATTTAAATATTTCTATGCAAATAAATGTTATTTATGTAGTTCTAAAAATGATAAAACGTGTGTTCCTGTCATTTTTTTTTCTTATTTCATTAGTAGATTTCTTAAGGTAGTCTTTTAACTAAATTGAAAGCTCAGACCATTGGAATTATCCCAAATTTTTAGTTAACATAGTTTTTTTTTTTTTTTTTTCTAAGTTTTTATCGATTTTTTAGAGAGGGAGGCAGGGAGAGATAGAAACATTGGTGTGAGAGAGAAACATCAGTCAGCTGCCTCCTACATGCTCCCTACTGGGGATCGAGCCCACAACCCTCACATATGCCCTGACCAGGAATCTGACTGGGACCCCTCAGTCCATGGGACAATGCTCAATCCACAGAGACACATCAACCAGGCTAGATAGCAGAGTATTAATGAAATTTTATTGTGTAGACTTTTGTAAATATTGTCATTTTCTCTATTTTTTTATTTAGATCTGCTAATTTGCAGATGCCAGTCATTGGAATTGGAATAAAGTTTAGTATGAGTCAGAATTAAATATTGGAATTTTGAACTCAAATGAATAGTGCAAACAAACTCCTCACCCATGAATAGCAAATTCTGTTGCTTTTGTGTACCTTTTCTGTTTCCCAGAGCTTAATTTTTAATTTAATAATGATAATAATAATAATTTTATCAGAATATATAGTTGTAAGCTAAATTATAGGTAATTTGAAGTTTATATAACTAAAAATAAGAATATATTTTGTGTTTTTCTCTGCTAGCAGTGGGTCTTTATATACATTGATCTGTTTCCTTATGTGGGATTATAATGTATATTTGGAAGTAGTATCATATGAGCAAAACAAAAATGTTATATGTCTTAGGAAGTCTGTGATAAGTTTCACCTTTCAACAAATAATTACTGAATCTTTTTTTTATCCTCACCTGAGGACATTTTCTCATTTATCTTCAGATAGAGCAGGAGAGAGAAGGAGGAAGAGAGAGAAAGTGAAACATCGATGTGAGAGAGACACATCGACTGGTTGCCACCCACACAACCCCAAGCCAGGCGGGGGACAAACTGCAACCTAGGTATGTGCCCTTAGCAGGAACCGAACCTGAGTCTCCCTGGTCGTGGGCGGACACTCTAACCGCTGAGCCAAACTGGCCAGGGCAATTACTGAATCTTTTTAATAAGCCTCATATTACCTGGTCAATACAAGAGATAATGAAGGATAATATACATAGGGAGAAGGTAAAGACATTCCCAGCAGAACCCTGGTTCAGTGGTAGTGCAAGTCTATTTATCCGAACCTTTACAGATCTGTAATTATATTTACATATTGACATTTATTTTAAAGTGTCCTCTTTTAGTTTATGGGCTTTGAAAAGAAGCACAGAATAAAATTTGTTAATATATAAAACTTAATGAATGATTGATGATGTAGGGGAATAATTTTAGTATTTCTAAAAAATAATATAGGTTTTAATATTTAATCTACTGGTATAAGAAAAACATACAAAGTCTAGTTATTAAAACACTTGCATAGCACTTACTAAGTGCCAGGCATTAAGTGCTTTAAAAATATCGACTCATGTCATCTTAGTAACAACCCTATGAATTAAGGACAGTTATTATCATTTTTATGTTGCAGATGGGGAAATTAAGGCACAGAGAGGTGAAGTAGTATGCTTCCAGTCACTTAGCTAATAAGCGTCTGAGTCATGATTTGAACCCAGAGTGTATGCTATACTGCCTGTTTACTTAATGTAGATAGCCTAATATAAAGCGAACAAGCACTTTCAAATCAATGCATTTTTATTGTTTTTAAAATATTTAACACTAACTCAGGTGACGTTCTCAATAAAGTCTTAATAGAGGCCTCAGTGATCTTTTAAAAAATAGTTTAATAGCATCATTTGTTGATAAGTATTTTATTTTTTATGGCTTAAACATACCTGATAATATTGTTAGTTTGTAAGTTGCTAAGTGTCCATTACATAATCATTATTTAACAAATGTTAATTTCTTCCATACTTAATAAATAGGTGCAGAAATAAGCTTTAGTCACTGGGAAATGTTTAAGGAGATATGTAGTTCTCCTCAGTAGTCAGAAGGTGTCAGTGTTAGGACACTTGATAAAAACGGAATGTCAACAATTTCTTTCCTAAAATGTAAAAAAAAAATTATAAAGTTGAGATACCACTCTCTGTGTTAAGTACAAGCCATTACTCAATTTCCAGTATTTTCATGATTAAAATATCAATTTCTATGAAGTAACTTTCTTTCAAAAAGAAAATTTCTCTTAATTACCTATCTTCTGAGAATCCAAAGGATGATTCATAAGATAAATTACTGAAATAAATATGGATTTATAGTTTATTAAATATTAAAATATGCTACTCTAGAGATTTATATCAAATTATCACTAAGTTCACTCCAGAATGGCTACCTTTGCTTTGCCGTGTTATGAAACATACAGAGCTTTTCCGTGACTTGATCCTAACACATATAAATGACTGAGCCAAGGGATTTCTTTGTATTGTGTGGTAAATTACTTATGGTGCTGTTATTTCAGTATATTTATTGAAAACGTATGTGTCTGTGTGTGTTTGTATATGTATGTCACTCTATTATCACTTCTTAGTTGCTAAGACTAATTTTTGGTAGTATGTTTTTGTTTTGTTTTTTTCTTTATCTTCACCTGAGGACATTTTTCCATTTTTTGTTCAGATAGAGCAGGAGGGAGAGAGAGAGAAAGATCGATGTGAAGGGACACATCGAGTGGCTGCCACCCGCACGACCAACCAGGGCCGGGGACGAACTGCAACCTAGGTACGTGCCCTTAGCGGGAACCGAACCCAGGTCTCTCTGTACCACAGGCTGACGCTCTAACCGCTGAGCCAAACCGGCCAGGGCGGTAGTATGTTTTTTAAGGAAGCCCCTGAAACTAAGTAAAAAATGTTTCAACGTATTGGCTAGATTATGTGAACAAGAAGATAAATTGGGTCAGATTTTATGAGTAAGTAAATCACTGTAGGAGAGTTACATTAACTTTTTCAGACTCCCTGGCCACTGTCATGTACTACTCTAGCAAATAGAATGTAATGTCCTTGTTGCCAAAATAAAATCACTGCATTTCTCAAAGTAAAGCTATTCTAGAAATACATTACTCTATTTAAAATCTTTTAAAGAAATGTATTAATATTATTTAATAAGATGCCAATAAAATATGAAAATATAACTTCTTGTAGATAAGTTATTTTTAATATAAATTAGTAGCTTTAATTTTTTGTAAGAATGATAACACATGAAATTCTGACTGCATGCATTTAACTATTGATTTGTAAACCAAAAGAGTTAAAGAACATTAGAATAGCTATACTTAGTTACTGTTAAGGATTATTTGATTTATGGAAATGCCATATGCCATATATGTTTGCCTTCAAATGTATTTCATTACCATTGTGGTAAAATATTATAATGACTTATACATATCTAATTTCATAAATATAGTACAGTATTTTAATTTAAAGGCTAACCCCTTTCCTGTCTTTCCTGTGAAATTAAAGTAAGCTTCAGAGATGAACTGACCTCTCTGTTTCTGAACAGGCCTTTATTGTGGTATTTAATTTGAGGTATAATAAAAGTTCAGTTATTCAGACTAACATTAACCAAGGACAGCAGAGTTGAATTAGTAAAAAGTTGGACTTACAGAATATTTTCAAATCTATGTATATTGTTAAGTTTTGGGTTTTAGGACCTTTAAATATGTATAATAATGCAAATTAAGTTTCATGTATAATGGATATTTATTTATTTTTTTTAGAGTTGAAAGATCATTATTTGAGAAAACACGTTTAAGTAACATATTTAGGGTTCAGTGCTCTCAATACAACGCAAAGTTACATAATATTTATTAAAATGTTGCAAGAGTGGCTTTCAGAAGGAATTAAAATGTACTTAAAAACAGGATTTATTCATCCGTTTGAAGTTGTGTTTATGTATTTCAGGTGATTGCTTAGCGTGATGCTTTGAACTCTAGTATACAGCCATTATAAAAAAAGAATTCAGGACGTATAGTGGCTTACTTAGTTTGTTTATTGATATCTTTTTTAAATTAATTAATTGATTAATTTTTGTTACAGATGTTTCTCCTTTTTCCCCCATTGATACCCCCTCCCTCCCTGCCCTGTCCCCAGCTTTGTTGTCCATTTCCATTGTTCATGCATACATGGATATAAGTTCTGTGGTTTATCTCTCCTTCCCACCCCATCTTCTGGGGATTGTCAGTCTGTACCCCACTTCCACGTCTCTGGGACTACCCCATACCTCAGACTGTTATGTTCATTATATTCCACAAATAAGTGAGATCATGTGGTATTTGCCTTTTTCTGGTTGGCTTTTTTCACTTAGGATAATACTTTCCAGGTCCCTCCATGTCATCTCAAAGGATAAGAGATCTTTCTTCCTTACAGCTGCATAGTACTCCATTGTGTATATGTACCACAGCTTTTTTATCCATATAATGGATATTTTTAATTAGAATAGTAGTTGAGTAACAATAATACAAGTTTCATTATTTAAGTTCTTGACTGCATCATCCTCTCTTTTTTTATCAATTATCCTCTCACTCTTCTGTCCTTTTTTCTCTTTACC